TAAGTTGACATGTTTCCTCATCTGCAGGGGCATTCAAAACAACTGTGGAACCAGGATTAGCCCTCCTTAGTTCCTCAAAATAATCTCATAGTCTACCATATTGTTCAATGTCATCACCATGTATCAATAGCATTGCCCTTTTCCTTGCTCTGTATAATTGATTCCTTATTACATCAACATGTAAATCTTGCCTAACCCTTTTTTATAAGCCTTTATAGGCCAACAAGGGTTGATTCTCAAGTCCTTTAGATACTTCAATGCAATCATCTTTGAGTTCACATTTTATTAGTTTAAGTCTTCCCACATGTGTGCTTGCTAATGTATGTCTTTATTTGGTATGTTTTCTCACCATGCACTCTAGAAGCATAAACAAGCCAACTGCAGCCCTCTTGACATTGTGCCCTTACCTTCTTTTTGTCATATTTTACCAACGTAACATTTCTTTGATTTTTAATTGCATGTTGTCTAATAGCAGCTTTGATCTCCTCAGATGTATTGAATAACATACCTAGCTTAAATTGTGGGTCTTCCTGATCTTTGTTTGCCCTAAATACTTCAAATTTTGTTTTTTTTTTCTTGCATCAGTCTCTCTATTAGATGAACTACAACAACTTATAATGTCCTCAGAATCAACCATATGAGTCACTCAAGTCTAAGCCATGCCTTATGTCTGTTGTTGTTGTTTTTTGCCTGTTAGTTTTCAAACTAGTCCATTCAGCTTCATGATCAACATAATTCTCATACAACATGGTATCGTACTCACTTTCATAATCACTGTCAACCAATTCTTCATATTAATTGTATTCAGATTCAAGTCAGTACTTATCTAAGTCTGATGCTACCCCATCCTCTATTTCATTGTCATCAATTGGGCATCACCATCAACAGGATGATTGCTTTTGCCTCTAGATGATCCAACCTACCTCTTCACTAATTTAATACCTCCCATATGTTTACAATATACTTGAGCTACCCTATTTTTATGCAATGATGTGACATATCTAATACCTATTCATCATTACTCATATGTGCTAGCCCTTTGTCCAAATCCAAAATAGGAAGTTTGTACTAAAATCCAATATATGGAGCATATCCAACACTATTAGCTATATCATCCATTTCAATGAGTGACATTAATTCACAATCACAGTCATCTATGTAATCTATTTTGCCCCCAACATAAGCTTTTTTTGGATTCTCTATAAATTCACCAATGTGGTGAACCTCCATTGAGAAAACCAAAGACTCATGGCCTATAACATGATTTTGTTGAAACATATGTAAGAAAAAACATAAAAATTGCCAAATGATTTCCAAAAACAAGTAAATATAAAATTCAATGAACATGTAAATTATAAAATCTAATATATAAAATTCATATTGCATAAACAAGTGGTTTCCAACAACCACATAAACTATAAAATATTTCAAAAAAAAAAAAATTGTTTTGCATAAACAAATATATTTGACAATATCAAGACCTTTTATATTCAGATGTACCCATGAAGCTGAAACCCAAACTTATAAAAATCATTACATGATGTAATGGGGAACATCGTATCATCCAGCCTGATTCCCTTTCTTCTTCCTAATGAAACAAACCATTTTTATACTATGATTCACAATCAACCAAGATGAAGACAAAGCTAAGCACTCTTGCATTTTGCCCTGATCAACTCTGGCCATTTTGCCCTAATCAATAGTTCTCACCATTGTTGTCATTGCAATGGAAGTGAAGAGTCTGAGAATCACAGTTTTTAAATGGCTAAGTAGGCTAAGTAGGTTGCAATGTCCAATTTGCTCCTCATGTGGATGACACATGGAGATGAAAACGATAAAAAGCAGACGACGTTTATGGTTGGGATCAAAGTGAATACTTTGAGGACCAATTTAATTCAATTGGAATGTTGGAGACCAAAATGAGACAAAATGAATAATTTGGGAAACACCAGTACAAATAATCCTTTACTTTTCTTCTCTTTTGTTTTTGTCCTTTAAGTATGCACTATTACTAGAAAAATACACAGAAGTGTGAACATAAAGTTGAACCGATTTTGTGCAGAGAGAGAGAGAAAGATTTGCAGTTACAAAGAGAGATCGTGGAGAAGGAGTCCTTGTGCAAGATCGAAGCTAGACTAGATCCGCTAACTATGTCGTTCGAGGATACCGAAAAAGTGGAGATTTAAAAATCACTAGACCGATTGAATTGAACTAATTTAGGGCCAAAAAAAAATAGAATTTTTGTTTTTATATCTTACTTTTCGTCTCAACTGTCGGGTTTGAAGATTTACTGACTAGCCGATTTTACGAATTTTTAACAGTACCGCAAACCGGTTTAGGCTCCGTTCACTAGTTCAACCATCTAATCCGGTTGGAATTTTTAATAATAGTGCTTAGGTGTGTTATAAAAAAAATAGTTAATTATAAAATACTCCCTTCAACTTTGAATAATTACAACCAGAGCAACTAAAGGCAATTTGAGGTTTAAAGTAAAAACATTAAATAGTATTAATTTTTTATTTTTTTATGTGAGAGGAAAACATAAAAATAATGTGCTAGTATAGTCGAGAAAAAAGTTTCACCGACGAGAGAGTTTAGTTTTAGGTTTTGTTTATATTTTTTGCTTTTCTTTTATTGGAGAGGGACATAGAGAATGAGTAGGGGTAAATATAAGTTGATTTTTTAGTAATTTTTTGTTTTTTTAACTTCTAATTTTTAGGTTTCTAATGTTATGAATTGAATCATATGCCTAAATTATTACAATAAAAATTTGAGTTTTTTGGAAGTTAGTACATAAAATTAGACTTATTGAATAAGTTCATAGTGAAAAATATTTGGTGAAAAAGTTTTCTGATAATATAGAAATACTTGAATACCTTTTTACTATATAGCAGTTGTCTAAAATGGTTTTGAAAAATCAAAACTCATAATAAGTTCTCTTCATATAAGTCGGTCTCTCACTCTCTCTTATTGATGTGGACTGGTTAGGAAAGACATCATTTAATGGTCAGTATGCATCATTTAAATGCTTAACGCGACTCATTAAATGTCTGAAAGATGCTCATTGAATACTCAACTTCTTGAACAGGGTAATCATTATGTTGTTTGAACCAAAGTGACTATTAGAATTCCCTGGGCATAGTAAATGCGCGACTTGAGGGAGATAATAGTTTATGACAAGTTATTTGTGTAGGTGTCCAACCTGCCAATTGGATATGACTCACGAAGTTCCATCTCATCATCTCTCAAAGTATAAATAGCTCAAAAGATTGAGTTTCAGGTATGCATGCATAACCCAACTTACACAAAATCACATTCCTCTCAGCTTGAACAAGGACGGACTTAGATATAAGAGAAGACAGACCTCCAACCCTCTTCTAACCTTGTTCCTAGGGATGACAGTGGACTAGAAAAAAGGGAGTTATTCACCCAAACTCGTTCCGTTTGAATTGAGGATGGACTTTACGTATTGGACGGTGGATGTATACGGGGATACCCTTATCCCTGTCTCATCCCAGCTGTACCCATTATATATATACTTCTAGTTACAAGCTTAAAGCCCTAATTTACTCTCCTCTTCCTCTATCAATCACCTGCCTCCATCTCTCTCTCTCTCTCTCTCTCTCTCTCTCTCACACACACACACACACACACACACTGTGAGACAGACACCCATCGCCCTCCTCCATCATTCTCGATGGTCGCTGCACTCAGCAACTCCTCACAGCCGCTTGCTTCCTTGTTGATCGCTGCACTCAGCAGCTTCTCACAACTGATTGTTTCCTCGCTGATTGCTGATCGCTACATCTCTCACTTGCTCACAGATCTTTGACTCAGTTCTTCGACACACAGATCTTCATTCTTCAATCAACAATCTGGTAGGTATGACCAATACCAATGTTTTCCTTTTCAAATGGGTTTGTGTGCAATATATTTTCAAATGTGGGTTTTTTTATATGATTTCTCTAATTTTTTTATTTGACATCTGAGAAGAAAAGGCTCATCTGTATGTATTAGTTGGTGTTTTATTTTTTTTAGTTGTAAATTCCTTGTTTAAATCTGTAGCCTGCGCTTCTGTAATGGTGTTTTGATATATATTGCTAACTTCGACTGAACACTGCTATGAGTAATTATACTTCACAACAAGCAGATTTTTATAAAACGTCATAGCTTTCTCTTTAACCTCATCCACTTAGTTTCCATCACTTTTTTCTAGACTATGATAATCTTACCTTGAAAAATCAATCCTGTGTATTAGTAGAGAGTATTGTGTTCTTCTTTGTCTTGTGTATTTAAAATATTAAATTTATTTAGAATTTTAGATTATATTGGCTTGAACTTAGGCTTGGGCTTTGGCGGGTACGAGGGCAGCAGGGATTAGAAATTTACCGTGAACGGGAATGAATATGAAAATTATAATCGTTAACGAGACTGAATCAGGGATGAACAAAATTTTTTTAAGCGGATACGGAGACGGAGATATTATGCATGATTCATCTTATAAATTCCTATACAAATCTCGCTTTATTATGGATTAAAATATAAGTGAGTGTAAAAAATATTTATTGTAGTTAAAATATAAGTGAGTGATTAAAAAGTTTATTATAATTAAAAAATAAAATATTTCATAAGATAATTTCACCAAAACAAATTGAAAAAAAACAAAGATGTGAGGAATGAATTGTAAATCGGCCCAAAAAACTCAAAAACCCAAAGCATTCCAAAAGCCACTGGATCTGGATCTGGATCCAACTGTGAGGGTTTGTTCGGCTCGACCTTTCTGGAATCTACTAGACTTTTCTCAACTCTCGAGCATCTCTACAAAGTACTACTGCTAATTCCTTCCTCCGAGTCTCCTCCACCTTTTCCCTTCTTGCTCTCCTGAGCTTCTCTCTGCTACTCCCTCTCTCTCTCTCTGCAGAAACCCCACATACAAACACTTATTTTCTAACCAAAAAAGGGCCAAAATAAACAGCGCAAGCACAATTCAATCGAAAATAATGTTTGGAGTAGTGTTCCCCAATCGTAGTTTCCCAATGGACATCTCCACCTTCACCCAAATCGACACCTTCCATTGGGTCCTCGACATGAACACCTTCGTCGGTAAGCTTTTCATTTTTCAAATTTAAATTTTGTGCGAGTATATGTGTGAGATATTGCTTGATGCTAACGTATTCAGGGGGTGGCGAACGATTCAATCCGGAAAATTTATATATGTTTGTGTGACCGCTTGCTGCTAACGTGCGCAGGGGAGGCGTACGATTCAATCCGCGAAGTCTGCATCTTCCTCCTCAACAACTTCACTCTACCGCCAGACAAAGCCCTAGCGGTCTACATCCAAGCCCCAGGCTCGCCTTTCCTCTTCTGCGGCGCCGTAACGCTCTCTCGCCCCTCCGCTGTCCTCTCTCTCCCGTGGCCGGACCCCGGCGGCCAAATGCAACTTACCGCCGACGCTGCCCCGCTCTCCGCCAAAATCGGTGTCTCCGTCGAGGACCTGGCGTCGCTGCCCTCCTTGGACGTCACGGCGGAGAAGAAAATTGAGAGATTGGCATTGAAGGTTGGGGAGAATTTGTTTAATTTCATGCAGTCGTTTTGTGGAGTGGATGGGAGTAAGTTGGTTGTGCCAATGGATATATTGGATAGGTGGTTTAAGAAGTTTCAGGAACGGGCCAAGCGTGATCCTGAGTATTTGAAGGGTTTCGCATTGTAGCTTTCAAGAGGTAGATATATATGATTATGTGTATTGACTAAAATTGTGATGAAAAGTTTTTGAATTTAGTTGATTTTGTTTGCTTAATTATGTGTTTCAGTGAGAAAAATTAAACTTTTTTCTTTCACTCTAATTTTGATACAATTTAATTTTGTTGTTACTTGCAATTTGTGTTTGCTGTGGGGTTTACTCTGGAAATGAGATGTATATTGACATTTGGAGGATGTGTTACCCTATGTATCTGGGCAATTGCTGAAATTTTATCTTTGCTGACTTTTAATTCTAATGGAGAGGGTAGGTAAAGAATTTGTGGCGTTGTTACCAAACGATTCATTTAATGTCTACTTTTCTCAATGCTCACTTTATTCTCTAAGCATATGGCATTATTACAAATATATGAGGCACATGAAGATGTATTTAGAAACTCGACATTGTCAATTTCCAAAATTTATTTGCTCATTATTTATGATGAGGCACTTGGTACCGGTGTTCTCCTATCACTTCAGAGGGCTTGAGGTTTGGTTTCTGGTACATTTTGCTACATAAAAGTTGCTATTGTTGATTTTTCTCAGAAAAAGTAGTGTTTTTTAATTTTTTTTTTGTTTCAAAAGATAAAAATGGAAAAAAAATTATGTTTATTAGTACTTTGTTCTGCATTCTTATTTTAGTTAAGCCACTCATGTTTAGAAATGATGGAAAAGTAAGAGAGATAGGCTTTCTATCCACGAAGGTAGGAAATCCTTTTTCTCTCTTTTTTGTTTGGTACGATGGATGAAAAATTTGCGGGATAAACTTTTCATTGTTTGATATTAGAAGAAAAAAGAAAGGAAAGGGAAAAATAAACCCCTTTAATTTACTACTATACCATTAAATAAAAAAATACTTTTTACCATGACATAAAAGTTCAAAGCCTCTAATTTGCTATATTATTGAATAAATATGTTCCAATAAATTAATATTTTTAATTTGACTCATAGAAAAATATAATTTCAGTTGGACAAGTGAAAAATATATATGTTTTGTAGTGATATAAACATGGAGGATATGTGCTGGAAAGTTTTAAAAAAAGGTACAGTTGCTTTACATAAATATATTGGTTTGTGTGCACACATTTCAAAAGGAGGGTATAACAGTAAATTAGTTGAGCCCCACTCAAAGACCCTATTCTTTTTTTTTTTTGTAAAACCNAAGGGGCCATAAAGGGGAAACCAAAGAAGGGTGTGATAGTTTTGCTGAGAAGAAAATTTGGTTGACTCCATATCGATGAGAAATGTAACCTTTTTTCTTGAACTTAATGAGGAATGTAACCCTTTTCTTTTTGAACTTGATGAGAAATGGAACCCTCACTGGAGCTGAAGAGAGATAAATAATCAATTTATCTAAACTCTTAAGAGGTTGGGGTGCCAGGCTTTGTTGTATTGGGTTCTTGTTCTCTTTCGTGTTCATGTTCTTGTATGTTCTGCTTTCCTGGTTCAGTTGTCCATGGTTAAAGCCATAAGTTCATGAAGTTAAAATGTTATATTTTTGGATTAAATTAGGTTACTAACTGGGGAATGATCAACTTTTGTGATGAATAAATCAAGAAATAGCAACTGTACTGTGCAGACAAGGGGAGAATGGCTTAGATGACTCTATATTGTCCTGCAAACTGCAATGATATGGTTCAAAGAAATTGCGTCTCAATCGAAGCTTCGAGCATGNCCCTCCACTTTCCATCCACACAAGTTTTCACCATGCCAAACACAGTGTAAGGAAGATGCATCTTCACTTCTGTATAATTGGGCAAGTGACAGATTTTCACTTGAAAGATAAGCGCTGTGTGCCTTTTTTTTCCCTTTAAAGTTGAAAGATTACATTTTGTAAGACATCCTCTTGATTTGCCATACTTTTATCTCCATTTTGTTTCTTTTTCGATTTTGCCAAGTTGGTAAAATAAAGATATAAGAATGGGAAGTGTGGTTGTGAGCTCTGTCTGAAAATTTTGAGAAAATTGGATCAAGTGTATAATGCATGACATCAGCTATGGTTAAGAGTTTTGCTGTCAATATTGGGTGCATGCTATCGCGGAAGTAGTTGTCTTAGTCTCTTTGAAATATGTTTATCCGCAATCACATAGTCAAATGAGTGTTTTAGGTCAACAAACAGCTGAGTACCATTTTCAACAGATTGAAAACGTACATAAGATCTGGAAAATGAGTTATATGTGCTCAGATATTGGGATAGGAGCAACATAATGTTTCCTTTGGCTTTTGGATTAGGCATGCATTGATGTCACAATGGGGGCTTGAAACTTGAACATTCTGTGAGAGTGGTGGTACAAGATACCACTCAGGCTAAGAGTTGAGTTCATAAATGGATAAAATTTGAGATGAGATTTGTACGAAGTAGAAGATTGAACCCATTCTTGGCAGGATGAATGACAGCTGGCTGAGATTGCCTGATAAAGTGAAAAGATAAATCTATTTTTATTTTATAGTGTGAGCTCAAGGACAGATCCGTAGGTATATACCAACGATTATTGCTCTAGGGTATAGAAGGCACGTAGTATGCAATCTTAGTGATGATCTGTGTAATGTCTTATGAACATCAATAGCTATTATTGTTGAATTTGTTGGAAAGGCTTGTATTCCAAATCTTGGATCATATTTGGTATGAAAAATGCATTGTACTGTTTCTGTTAAGCTGATGTGTATGGAAAGCACTCTCTGTTCTAGTCGATCCCAGTGAATTTTTGGACAAGAAGTTTCCTTTTCTTTTGTTGGTGTTATTTTCTTAATAAACTTTTTGGCCTGTAGAAAGTGAAATCTTGTGCCAGTGATGAGTACTTTGGATTCCAATCAGTTATTATTAAGCTTAGATGAAAAGCAATAGCAAAAAAAGAAAAATGAAAAAAAGGAAAGTAATAGCTAAAGAGCTGATGCTTCTGTTTGAGAAATCATATATTCTTGTGCCACTGAGGATAACTTTGGACTCCAATCAGGATTTATTTAACTTGGATGGTTCTAATTGCTAAAGAGGTGATGCTTCCATTTGAGACGTCATATGAGATATGTTGCATTTGACATGATTTCTAGCATGCCAATTTTTTCATGTCGTAATGGACCTAATGGTACATAATCACCAGTGGTTGACAGCTTTATTAACCTGGACTTAAATGAGCTAACCAGAGCTTTTTTCATTTGGTTGAACATAAACTTCTAGCTGGAAGTCATATCTTGAATTCTAATCAATAGTTTCCTTGCATGCCAATCATTTCATATTGTGATCAGCATATCTCAACTGGAGATTGATATCTTTATGAGCTTAAAGTTCAGTATAGTAGTAGCTTATCTTTCGCTTTGTTGGATATATACTCGGAGCCATTTTGCTATTCAAAAGACAATATTGTTTACCATCAAAAAAGAAAAAAAGAAAACTCGGAGGTGGGAATAGTTTTTTTATGTGTTATTCTAGCATGTCAACCAGTATGTGAGGTGATTAGTGTAGTATGATCTAGAGGTTGATAACTTCAGAAGCCTAGAATTAAAATTGTAGTAGGAGGTCTTTTTACTTGGTAGATTATGAATTCTGAGGTGGAACTTACATTTGTGATGTGCATATTTTGTGATAAATTGCATAAGACGGTGGATGTTGGTTGACTAGAACATTTGCAAATGATGGGAAGTATTGAAATTCCTGGCGGTGACAAGTCCAACTTCTTATTGTTTACTCATCGTATAAGCTTGTTCGGCATTGAAATTAATTTGAGCGGTGCCAAAGGTTGTAATCCTGGTGTCATGGTCTGAATGAGGTTGTTCACTGCATTTCTTTGAGGTTAATACATGTCTTTTTTCTTCATGTGAAGGGGCCATAAAGGGGAAACCAAAGAAGGGTGTGATAGTTTTGCTGAGAAGAAAATTTGGTTGACTCCATATCGATGAGAAATGTAACCTTTTTTCTTGAACTTAATGAGGAATGTAACCCTTTTCTTTTTGAACTTGATGAGAAATGGAACCCTCACTGGAGCTGAAGAGAGATAAATAATCAATTTATCTAAACTCTTAAGAGGTTGGGGTGCCAGGCTTTGTTGTATTGGGTTCTTGTTCTCTTTCGTGTTCATGTTCTTGTATGTTCTGCTTTCCTGGTTCAGTTGTCCATGGTTAAAGCCATAAGTTCATGAAGTTAAAATGTTATATTTTTGGATTAAATTAGGTTACTAACTGGGGAATGATCAACTTTTGTGATGAATAAATCAAGAAATAGCAACTGTACTGTGCAGACAAGGGGAGAATGGCTTAGATGACTCTATATTGTCCTGCAAACTGCAATGATATGGTTCAAAGAAATTGCGTCTCAATCGAAGCTTCGAGCATGTGCGAAAAGAAAACCCAAAACTGCACAGGCTGTACGTAGACAGTAGTCCCAAAGTGGAGTGTATATTGGAAGATTGAGGTGAAGGAGTGATTCAGTGATGAAACATTTACTCCTGTCCACAAGTGGTTGCAGACTTGCGGGTTCTAATCTCACCATCTTCCCCCTTCTAGAAAAAAAGAACAAAAAATATTGGAAGACACTGGGGATAATTTCTCTATGGAATGTGAGTCTAGCTGTGCAAGTGAAAATAGCAACAAGCATGAAGAGGAGGCATGGGGTTGCTAAACATGTGTTTCCTTGTATTGGTTCTTTTTTCTCATTGTTGATGTGGGCGAATAAGACATTATTTCCTTCATTGTCTTAGCATTGGAAAAAACTCCATTTGTCCTTTCTATGCATAATTTTTATTGTTCGAATTCTTAGGGATATCTCCTAGGAAACAATTGTCGTATGTTTTTCAATTAGAATAGAGCATTCTATAGTGTATAGATGTTCAAATGTGTGGAAACTTTTTTTTTTTTTATTGTTAACTTAAATCACGGTAACGACGGTTAAGTTTAAAGGAGTAGTCGGTATTTAAATTTACCATCAATTTAATTAATAAATTAAATTAAAATAATTTTACTCATGTTTTTTTCAAACTACTAACTTGATTTTTAGAAAAAAAAAAAAATCTTTAAACAGTATAACGGTATACCTGTTCATTTTCCCGAAACTTCGTGCCGACACCTGAGGGCTGAGACATTTTATCAAACAACAGTTGATTTTTAAGATCACTAATATTTTAGTTTTATGTGGGATCAATCATACACGTGTTACCAGATTGCAGAAAATGAGTAAAAAATGAACGGTCGGGATGAATTCAGATGCCAGATTAATCGTCCCCGTCCTCAATCTGTCGATATTAATTTGAATCACACAATTCAACGTATTCATCATTCTCACACTTCAAGACTCTAATGGCCGTGGGCCATTGACAGTGACGCCCTTTTCGCAACTACCAGTCATCTTTCTCTCCCTCCCGCCGCAGTCACGCATTCGATCAAGAGCCCCCCCCCGCCCTCTCTCTCTCTCACATACACGCGCGCACACACACACGGACACACTTGCAGTCCAAAAGAGAGAAGTGGTATGGAGTCCGAGACCTCCAACGGCGTCGTGATCGAGAACGGTGAAGACGCATATTCGCACAAGACCAAGCAAAACTATATGGAAGAACAAGATGTGACACTCTACAGCGTTTTCAACAGTTTCATATCATCGGCTTTCTTTCCCAATCCGGACTCAAGCTATGCATCCATGCCTTTTGTGCAGCGAATCAAAGCTGCACTCTCCGTGAATGTTCCTTTGCTTCGCGAGGCTTCACGGAACACCGGACATAATGTTCTTCTGTGGACTCGCCGTGGCAGTCCTCTCCGAGCCCTCCTTGTTGTATCTGTGAGTATACACTGAACACACACATAAGGTGTACATAATACAGTTTGGTACTTACCGATGATTATGATTGCATTATTATTATAATTTTTTAGTTAGGAATGTTATAATGATATATATATCTGGCTTATCAGTCTGATTAATTCTTAACAAATTAGTGTTTGCAATTTGTGAGGGTCGTTCGTTCTAGCTATTTAAGAAATACGTTATTAATAATAAGATAAATAACTTATTTTGGAAACTCCATAGATTTATGGAATTGGTTATTATTTCTGAATCTCAAAACGAGATAAAAAAAACTGGGGTATATGTATCTTTCCCTATTAACCAATTTCTAATTTGTTTAATTCTTGGTTGTCATGAAAGCAAGGCATGGAATTGAAATTTTAGGTTTTGCTGAGGTTTTTGGAGTGTGGATTGGTTTTGAATTTGTGAGCTCAGTAGTATATGGTTTTTTTGAAAGATTTGAGCTTTCTACCTATCAGGGTGTTATAGGCAGAAAACAGTAATCGATGGTTGTGGTTAGAGATAAATAGCTATGGATAACTTAGGGATTAGGCTTGTTTTCCTGAAAATAATGGTGTGGCGCACATATATCAAGCTATGGGGTACTCAGACCAGAGTATGAGAGACAGCTATTGTAAAGAATAGAAAGAAATAGTTGATGACAAATGAAAGGATGGTATGAGTTTTATGTGCTAAAGTTATTGTATTTTGTGGTAGAGGTGCTCCTATGTCATTTAAACAATTTCAGTGGCACGCGGTTGAGGGTGCAATTGCTCTTCTCTTTTCACACTGAATTGGCCGGTCACTTTCTTTCATGAATTTTAGGTTTACAATGTCTACTGTAGTACTAATTGTAATTGAAATGTCTGGAAAAATCATGGACCAGATTGGTAATAATGGAAGCATGCTAATGGCTATTTGGTTGTTGATGGTTGCAACATTAAAATTTTTTTTTTCCTATTTTATTTTAGTTTGTTAGTTATTTTTTATTTTTTTTTAGTGTTGTCTTGCTTCTAATTCAATTATGATTGGTTTTGGATTTTCATTTATCTCCAATAATGGGAATTGTTAAGAATAATAGAGTAGTAGTATGTGTAAATTGTTAATAGTAAAAGGGATGTATGTGTTATTATTATTATTGTAAGTTAACTATAAATACAAGTTATGTATGAGAGTTAGGTTAAGTTTTCTAACCTCTCTCTTTCTCCCTAATATTGCCTCTAATATTGTGTTATATTAATTCTCTTAACTTAACATGGTATCAGAGCATTAATCTTGGTGTTGTTACTGTTGATGGTAGTCGATCGGTGTACTGCTCATCGAATTTTTTTTTATTTGGTTGTGGCTTGTGGTAGTCCATTGGTGTGGTTGACGTTGGTGGTAGTCCATCGGTGTGGTTGACGTTGGTGGTAGTCGACGGTGTGCTGCTGTTCGGCGTTGTGGTGGTGTTCAACAGTGAAGGCAGTCGACTGTCTTCGTGGTGGCGATTGTTCGTCGTGGTGTAGTCGCCTATCTTCGTGGTGGTCTGTGGAGGTGTTTTGGTGGTGTCCGGTGTTGTGGTGTGGTGGTGTTCGGTGCTGTGGTGGTGTTCAACAGTGAAAGCATAGGGTTTGGTAGAAACCCTAACCAACGAAGGAGAAGATCTGTTCCAGCCAGACTGGTCCAGACCCGGTTCAGTATCCTGATCAAGTCCAGCCAGATCGGTCCAGACCCGGTCCAGACCAGATCAGACCGGTCCAAACCCGTTTCAGTTTGGTTCAGCTTTCAAGTGGGCTTCTCCTGTCCAGTTTAGTCCTGCAACACTTCTTATTTGCTATTTGCTTTGCTATCTNTCTGTGGAGGTGTTTTGGTGGTGTCCGGTGTTGTGGTGTGGTGGTGTTCGGTGCTGTGGTGGTGTTCAACAGTGAAAGCATAGGGTTTGGTAGAAACCCTAACCAACGAAGGAGAAGATCTGTTCCAGCCAGACTGGTCCAGACCCGGTTCAGTATCCTGATCAAGTCCAGCCAGATCGGTCCAGACCCGGTCCAGACCAGATCAGACCGGTCCAAACCCGTTTCAGTTTGGTTCAGCTTTCAAGTGGGCTTCTCCTGTCCAGTTCAGTCCTGCAACACTTCTTATTTGCTAACTGCTGCATTATTATGGAACCCAAAAATCCTGTGTTGCCTCCTCCTACTGTTATCACTAGTCCCATGACTTCTGTCAAACTCAATGTGACTAATTATACTTTATGGTCACGATCTGTTCAAGTCTTTCTTCGAGAAAAAGGATTTAAGAAATATCTGGTGGNTGTGTTGCCTCCTCCTACTCTTATCACTGGTCCCATGACTTCTGTCAAACTCAATGTGACTAATTATACTTTATGGTCACGATCTATTCAAGTCTTTCTTCGAGAAAAAGGATTTAAGAAATATCTGGTGGGTTCTAAACCCAAGGAGGACACTCTGGGGTATGATCAGTGGGAACAAGAGGATGCTCAGATTATTTCTTTATTGTTGAATAGCATAGAGCCCAATATTAGTTCCTCTCTGCTTTATCTTGATACTACCAAAGAGATATGAGATCACTTGGCCACTATGTATTCTGGTACAGGCAATTTTACCCGTGCGTATGAGGTGTGCAAGGAGTACTTCCGGTTGGAGCAGAGTACTCTGAGCCTTGCGGATTATTACTCTCATGTTCGGGGAGTCCGTTAACTACTGATGCAGCAGTTTGGCAAAAGCAACATGAGGACTTGAATGTTGTTCGTTTTTTGGTTGGATTGAAACTTGAATATGAGGCTATTCGTTCTCAGATTTTGGGTGGATCTAGTCTTCTATCACTGCTGGAGGTTTTCTCTCATTTATAGCGTGCTACACTATCTACTACCTCAGTAATTGATCATGGTGTCTCCACTGATCGCTCAACTCTTGTAGTTCTTAATAACCATAGTGATGGTCATCGAGGTGGTCGTGGTGGTCGCGCAGGTCGTACGGGTGGTCGTGGAGGTCGTAATGGATCTCGTTCTTGTACTCACTGTCGCCGTGAAGGACACATTGTTTATTTCTGTTGGAATTTACATGGAAAACCCTTTGGTACTGCTAATCAGGCTTCTTATCAGGATGACACCTCGATTGTTGCTTCCATACCTCGGTCAGCTCCACCATACACTGGGTCAGTTACTATTACACTGGGTCGAGAGGAGTATGCTCAGTTCCTGTCCCAATAACAAGCTGTTTCATCTCCCTCCACTTCTACTTTTGTCCAGTCAGTTACTGTTTCCACATGTTTAATGTCCTCCACCCGCAGCCCTTAGATCATAGATTCTGCTGCCTCTGACCACATGATTGGTGCGTCTGACGTTTTTTCTACTTATCAGTCTGCTATTTCTGTATGTAGTGTTACTCTTGCTAATGGTATTTGTTCTAAAGTTTCAGGTCTAGGGACTACTCACTTGAGTCCTGATATGTCCCTATTTTTCGTGTTATTTGTTCCTCAGTTTCCTTTTAGTTTACTTTCCATTAGCAAGATTACTCGTTTTCTCAATTGTTCGATAATTTTTTATCCCTCTTATTATGTCTTTCAGGATCTCAAGACGAAGAGAAAGTTTGGTACGGGACATGAAGCTGGTGGCCTATATTACCTTGACTTTGATTCATCTACNAGCAAGATTACTCGTTCTCTCAATTGTTCGGTAATTTTTTATCCCTCTTATTGTGTCTTTCAGGATCTCAAGACGAAGATGAAGATTGGAATGGGGCATGAAGCTGGTGGTCTATATTACCTTGACTTTGATTCATCTACCCGACCTTTACAGACCTCGTTGTCTCCTTTTCAATGGCATTGTCGTCTTGGATATCCTTCTCTCCAGAATCTAAAGCGTCAAGTTCCTAGTCTTAGTTATGTGTCGTCTTTGTCTTGTGAAGCTTGTCAACTTAGTAAATATCACCGTGTGTCATTTCAGTCTAGAGTCAATAATCGTGTGTCTAGTCCATTTGAATTAGTTCATT